GTAAATGGTTTGTCTCAACCCTCTAACAGGCTTAATGGTTAGATCACCAGGTGAGAATAAAGGAAAGAGTGTCTGAAAAGGAAACTAATACAGTCATCACATCTAAGAATCGGTGAGCTGCAATATAATAAATGTTTGAATTGGGTGCAATACTGCTTTAACTCCAGAAAAGCATTTCAAAGTATGTCTCTGGGATTTTCTGGATGATCTCCTGATTCTCCTTCTGACCTTAAAATTACTTTTTGTGGTTAGAAAGGACTTTCTCAAAAACTGGATTTTTCCTGATCCCCATACTAAACAAGCATGGATCAGTGTAGTTCATTCCTTGATTCCTAGGGACCACTATATTTAAGAATCCAGAGATCAAGTGAAGTTTTTAACTCAATCTGGGATGCATGGCTACATAAATTTCACCCGGCTCTTACATCTGTTTCTAACGAAGACCGTATCTGATGTTATATTCTCCAATATTCAGGTATACTTGTTTGCTATTCCACTGCTGAACACTGGATTCATTACTATTATATTGCCATTTCAAATTGTATTTATTGCTGTACTCTTTCTGCTGCAACATGGTGTGATTGACACATCTGTGTGATTGACATATTCCAATTTTCATAACTTTTTTATTCTGTTGTATGTGAAAAATAAATAAATTAAAAGGAAACTTGAACTCAGAAAAGTATACATGCTGACGTTGTTGACCATCTGAAAATGCAAGTTTCCTGGCTGTGTTTAGGTTAAGTGGTGTGTGAGTCACTGACCCATAATAAGTATGTAGTAAATGAGTAAAATCAGAATAGTGAATCTGCCTGAGTTGATGAGAGGGCTTCCTTTACACCTCCTGTCTCATTTTCCCTGGAGTTATTGACCCGGTATAACAGGGTCACAGGTGCCTGTAGGAGATCCTGGTGGGAAGACACACTGAACTGCAGGTCTGTAGCAAGTGCAGAACCAAAGTCTATGAAGCTGAACTGGAAGTTAACAGTGGCAGGATCTCGACACCTGAACAGGTAGGCAGGAGTTGGCAACAACCAGGGAGCAGAAGTACAGAAACAAGAAAATTAAGCAGAGACAAGACCGTGCCAAGGTCAATATCAGACAAGTACTGAAGGTACTGGAATAGCAGGCAAGAAGATTGGGTCACAAGCTGGAGTCAGCAACAGGGTATTGGGATCAAAGTGGGTCAAATGAAGTTGGGTCAGAACACAAACAAGCACAGGATCAGTTCACAGAAGCTGATGACCACTCAGCGATCTTCTGAACTCCAGTACAGCTATAAATAGACCACTAGGCACCAAGACATCCATGCCCATGTGCATGATCATCCATGCTAGCATACGTATGCATGTGCATAGTTAATACTTGGTGATCGAAGTACGAGAACTTCCTGCGCTAAGAATGGGGCCCTATTTACCAAGCAGCTGACACAAAACTCCTTACCACGATGAGTGAATACATATAAATATAAAGTGCAGCGCTCTCCCTAAACTAATTATATATAAATATAAAGTGCACACTTGACTGAAAAGTGCTCTACATAATAACACAAAATACTAAACATATGTGTAAAAATGGTGCATTTACAAATATGTGCATAAGCAAAAAATAGTGCAAACCGTGTGCTTCAAAATGAGAATAAAGTGCAATTAAAATTGAGAATAAAGTGCAATAAAATCACTCCAATCATCTATTATAAATAATGATAAATCCAAAGTAAGATAAAGTGTCCAAATGCAATAAAAAGACTAACAATCTTCATGCATGTGTCACACGTGTCCACACTGTGTGAATCCAAACTTTGGCCGTGATGGCTCCTCACCTCCTTGCCAAGACCCTACAGGGTCAGCTCGCTTTACAACAGGACACCCTTTAGATGACTCACCAGGACCTTCCCCGCCTCTTACACTCTAACAGCGATCTCCTCCTCGGTTCATATACAAACAAAAACTCACATAGTGTAATCCTGTTTATTAGATCAGTAGATATATAGTAAAATTGCCCACTCACATTTAAAATCGACTTGTAACAAGCCTTCAGTACCCCATGCTATGAATCTCCTGCATGGGTATATAAATACAGGGGTTTCAAATATGGCCGCTACGCCGGAAATGACGTCACCGTGCTCCCAGAATCCTCGCATTCCGACGCGTTGCGTCACGGTAACACGTGACTTCCTCAGGGTTAACGCCCACCGAGGACTGAATTCTATATATACTCTTCCCAACCCAATCAGAATTGGGGGCGGACCTGAGCGGCCCCATTTTCTCGGAGTCCACAAGTATTATTCATTATTGCGGTGACCGTAGCAGTAAATGAACGATATGGAGCAACGGACCAGCAACCTATATACACTTCCCCCTATACGGCAATAAGAATGTACTCCTCCACCTCCGGAATACAAATATAACAATCCATTAAGGCAATCAAAATTACAATTAATAGTATATTAAAATAAAATGAAATAAGACTGGGGGAATTTATAAAGCGATATAAGAACAACAAATTTCACCCAATCTATCACCCCACTCCCCCTATTGGACACATTGTATAATGCACTATGGAATTAAAATTAAAATACCCGTCAAACCCATTTTATTAATATTAAAATACAATCCATAAGATCAATAAAACTATATATATATATATATTTTTATATATATATATATATATATATATATATATACCCATAAATTCATCCATAGCATCGGTTTACAAACTTGCATAATAATAAAACCTGTCACTACATAATAATATTTCCTATTTCCAAATCATCAATCTCTACTACACATAATGAAATATTGTGTTGTTAATCATTCTAAATATTTGCGCAAAACAGATCACTATACAACATTAACAGATCTATTCCTACCTAAGGCAAATCTAAAAAATATATAATTAAAAACTTTTTATTAAAATTCATTAAACGTAACAAACCAGATATTACCACGTAAACCTCTACACTCATTAATAATCACTAATGAAGCAGTTAAGATCAAAGTCTACGTTTAGGCCTTTTGGGACCTGAGTCTTCATGTCAAAAATCCATTTTGATTCAGATTTACTCAAGGACCTTATTTTATGGCTCCCCCTCCAATGACTATTATACTTCTCTATTCCCCAGAATTTTAGCATGGTGAGGCACCTATAGTTTTTACTCTGTGAGTGGGTGCATAAGCTAGGACTGTGGATAATGGGGTACCACCAGTCCTCCTGTATGGGGCCCAGGCCAGCAGGGTGGCCCAGGCAGCTGGGTGAATTGAATGTGGACAGGGAGGGAGATCGGCACAGTAAGGGGGGCAATTGCTGGAACTGATCCCCTGTATGGCTCTCTCTGCAGCAGCTGAAAGCTAGCTTAACATAGAAACATTGAAAAGTGACGGCAGAAAAAGACCAAGTGGTCCATTTGAGTCTGCCCTTTTTTTGTGTGTGTGTTTTTTTTTTTTTTTGTTAACTTTTTAGTATAGCTCTATGCTTGTCCTAAGCATGTTTGAAGTTATTTACTGTTGACTGGCTCAGTACCTCTTCTGGAAGTTTATTTCAAGCATCAACTACTCTTTCAGTAAAATAGTACTTTAAAATAATAAACATGAGAATGCCGTAAACATTTGTAATTGCAACAATTTTCTGGGCGAATTGCTGTATTTGACAGAAATCCAGGCTGCCAATATTTTTGGCCATGACTGTAACAGAAGTCTATGGCAAAACACAGCTAACCCACAGGAAAACCACAGGTGCATTAGTGTGAAGGCAGCCTTATATTGGGATCAGGACACTAAGGGCTCATTTAAATTTGCACACACCCCAAACCACTGCTTTAGCATCAGGGGTCATAATAGTGACCCCACCCCATGCTTCACGGGGCTTGTGTGGACACCCTGTCAAGTTCTGTTTTAAACTTGGACAGGAGGAGCGGTGGGGGTGGCCTATTACAGGAACCGATCCTGTTTTCCTCCTGCAACTACTGAAATCTGGCTTCTTCTCCTCTCCCTCCTGCAGGAATTCAGTAGCTGCAGGAGGAAAATGTTCATTATGGCATTTAAAAAAAAAAAAAAAAAAATTCTGAACCATTTAATTTCATTGTGGCCCATGACTGGTTACCAAATCACTTTAAGTGAAACTAAAGCTTTTTTTTAATGTTAAACAAACATGTCTATACTTACCTGCTCTTTGCAGTGGTTTTGCAGAGAAGCCCTGATCCTTTTTTTGCATCCCTGCTGGCACTCCTGGCTCCTCCCCCTTGAGCAGTGCCCCCAAGGAAAGCTGCTCACCCTGGGGCACTGCTGAGTGCTTGTCTAATAGACCCCAGCTCTTTCAGTAAAAAGGATGCACAGGAGTTCTGAGTAAGAATATCTCTCAGCTAGAGTCTATTGGAAGACTGGGAATACTTTGGATTGGGATGTGCAGTTTCTTCTATAAGCTTTTTGGCTGACGTAGTCTGGTAACGTACATGGTCTGTGAGAGTGGAGCACACAAAAGACACTTTTGAGTTATTGATGGTATTACACTGTATATAAAAAAATGTTTCTGAAGGGTATATCTTCCATGGAAGGGAGCGTGGAAAAGAAGAAGTTGTGATTGGAAGAGCTCTATTGTTGGAACCTGCTATTAGGCGTATATATATATATATATATATAGATATATATATTCATACATACAGTTGTGTTCAAAATAATAGCAGTCAGACATCACTAACCTGATCAATCACTGTTTTTGGTGGAAATGATATTTCTACATGGCAAATAATTTACTAGCAGGTGTAGTAAATTAATAGAAATCCAACAGACCCAACAGTCATGACATGCATGCTGCTGATTCTGTGTAATTGAATCACTAATTGAAAGGGGCATGTTCAAAATAATAGCAGTGTGGAGTTCTATTAGTGAGGTCATTCATTCTTTGAAAAACAGGTGGCAATTATTGCCCTTATTTAAGGAAGGAAGGCAGCAAATGTTGTACATGCTGGTTACACTGCATTTCTCTCTGAAATTCTGAGGAAAATGGGTTGTTCCAGATATTATTCAGAAGAACAGCATACCTTGATTATAGGTTTTCCCCTCTCCAATCAATTTTTTAAAGAAGTGCAGAAAATGATAGGCTGCTCAGCTAAAATGATCGCAAATGCTTTAAAATGGTAACCAAAACCTGAAAGACGTGGAAGAAAGTGAAAAACTACCATTCGAATGGATAGAATAGCCAAAATGGCAAGGACTCAGCCAACAATCAGCTCCAGGAAGATCAAAGAAGGTCTAAAGTTACCTGTGAGTACTGTTACAATTAGACGCCTATGTGAAGCCAAGCTATCTGCAAGAAGCCCCCGCAAAGTCCCACTGTTGAAAAAAAGACGTGCTGAAGAGGTTATGTTTTGCCTCAAAACAAAGTGTTTTTAACGCTACTACAAATCGCTCACTAATACACGGATTAGGCTTAATAAATATTAAAACAAAACATGATTTATTGAATAAGTTCTGTTAGTATAATAACATAACAATTGTCAGAATTGCAAATCATATTTAGATCATATTATAGTAAGAATAAAGCATCAATACATCACCGGATATTGTAGCATCACCCACTGCCCAGTGACTGGGGGACTCCAACAGTCAGCAAAGGGGAATCCGGGAAATCACCGCAAGGCACGTCTGCCGCATCTTCAATGAGTCCCAAATTCCCCTAGAATCCCCCGTCTTTTATATACATAGTTTGGAATGTCTTTATCTACTGCCATGCGCAGTATCTCCTGGTTATATAACGTCATGTATGATTCTGCGGAGTAGTTAGAGTCAACGTGTGATCGGCTGTGCCATCACGCGTAGTTACCTATTTTGATGGAATGCACATCTGGTGAATATCAGCCACATCTCTGGTTTCAACTGGTTTTAACTGGTTTAATGTACACTTCCAACATGTTATTTTGAACTCCAGTTACCCATCTAATGGTTATAATCGTTAGCATTGTGACAGTTGAGTGTCAATCACTTCTCATCCATACATCCTATACACTCATGTCACATATGTATCACAGGTTACAATTTGCCAAAGAGCACATTGACTGGCCTAAAGAGAAATGGCACAACATTTTGTGGACTGATGAAGGTAAGATTGTTCTTTTTGGGTCTAGTGGCCGGAGACAGTTTGTCAGACGACCCCCCAAACACTGAATTCAAGCCACAGTACACTGTGAAGACAGTGAAGCATGGTTGCGCAAGCATCATGATATGGGGATGTTTCTCATACTACGGTGTTGGGCCTATTTATCGCATACCAGGGATCATGGATCAGTTTGAATACATCAGAATACTTGAAGAGGTCATGCTGCCTTATGCTGAAGAGGAAATGTCCTTGAAATGGGTGTTTCAACAAGACAACGACCCCAAACACACCAGTAAACATGCAACATCTTGGTTCCAGACCAACAAGATTGACGTTATGGAGTGGCCAGCCCAATCCCCGGATCTTAATCCAATAGAAAAATTGGGGGGTGACACAAAAAATGCAGTTTCTGAGGCAAAACCAAGAAATAGAGAAGAACTGTGGAATGTAGTCCAATCATCCTGGGCTGGAATACCTGTTCACAGGTGCCAGAAGTTGGTTGAGAACTGCTGTACATCTGTGTTGCATGGAGTCAAACAGTGCTTATACAACTAAATATTAATTATGTGATTCAAAGAAAAGCAAAATCTTCAAACATTTTTCAGTTTAAATAGTGAATGTTTTGAGTTTGTAAAGAAGAATACAAACACTGCAATTTTTTTGAACAGTCTAATATTCACTTTTCTTCAATTTTTTTTTTTAGAGAAACAAACACAAATTTGATATATTTTTCTTCATGTTTTGATTTGGAATAGAATGTGTAGTGTTCCCAATGCATTTGTGTGTATGGAAATAAAAGCTATTAGAAGGATTTTGAGCTTTATTCACTTTTTTCAACACACTGCTATGAGAGAGAGAGAGAGAGAGTGTGTGTGTGATCACACAGAGGGTAAGGGTAGGTATTACAGTCGTATAGCAGTGATCACATGGTGGAGTGACTAAGCACGGATATGCTAAACATTTTTGTGAGTGCGATTCTTTTAATATAGTTTATACTGAGGATAATGCACTATGTGTGTTTATATAATTTCTTTTGAGGATACCAAGTAGAAGATGGAATAAGAATCACGTGTGGGTGAACACTGAAGGTGGAGAATAGTTTTTCACATGATAGTAGGGGACATTTCACTGTACGGACACTGAAAGAGACTTTTCCTTTGTTTTGGACTTTCTGGGGGGAAAGTGATATCTTTGCGTCTAGGGATTTACACATAGTGTGTTAGTTATAAGGTACCGGTTGTTAAGATATTTTAGTAAAGAGTAACTGTTACCGACTACTGTTATCACAAGGGATAGTTACATTCCTTGTGATAACAATAAAAGTGATAAAAAAATTATTAAATGGACAGTCTAAAAATAAAATTTTTTTAAAAGCGCTCCTCTACTTCTGTACTCATGTGCAAAGCTAGCACACGCGTCGGTCCCGCATTGGTAAGTAAACCATGATCACAACACACATATGAGGTATCACTGCGAATGTTAGATCGAGAGCAATAATTCTAGCACCAGACCTCCTGTGTAAATCTAAAGTAGTAACCTGTAAAGGCTTATAAACCTCGCCTATGGATAATACCATTTACGCAGTTTGTTGCCGCTGCCCGGTCGTGTGCAATTTTAAAGCTTGACATGTTTGGTATTTATTTACTTGGCGTAACATCATATTTTATATTTTCCACACAATTGGGTATTATATTGTCTTTTCATGAAATAAAACTCATTAAAGTGCATTTTTTCCAAAAAAAGTGTTTGAAAAACCACTGCACAAATACCATGTGGCATAAAGAATTGCAACACCCACCATTTTATTCTCTATGGCCTCTGCTTAGAAAAATATATAATGTTTGGGGGGTTTAAGTAATTTTCTAGCAAAAAAACAAATGAAACAGATTTTTACATGTAAACAAAAAGGTAAAAAAATTAGTCCGAGTGTTAAAGTGGTTAAAATTAGCACAAAAATACATGAAATCTTTGTCTGAACAGTCATAGCATATTCCCAACACTGACTATGTGTAACAGCTATATGGTGCTTCCACATTCATCTTCTTCCGTGTGTGCCTAAAGTCTCCATCATCTATGAATATAGAATTATGAGTAACCCCAAGCCACCTACTTACTGCCACAGCCCATGTCCACTCTTCTGCCGATATTCAACAGCATGTGCTATAGGCTTTTTAATACCAACTATCAAAAAATTTGGTTTGGATAATAATCAGCTCTGTCAGTGGTATTCATTACGTGTGTGCTATGCTTATAACTGCTATTCAGACATCCAGTCTAAATTTTAAGTCACATACTGGTTACACATATATAAGGGGAAGACAACTGTTGACTATATAGCAACTGCATAGACATGCATCAACAGGCACAACGGATAAGAGCCTGCATCTGCACAACAGAATAATACAAAGCTGATTATTTTGCTGCCTTGCCTTACAAGATGAAACATGACAGAAAGGTCAAGTTGGCTGGATAGAATGTGAAACACTTACCCAATACAGGACGTTTGTAGCAATGTTACCAAGGATAGTAAACCTTGTATTATTTTAAAATTATAAGTGGAAAGTCACTGTAATGTAGCGCTCACTCTCACAGGAGCCTGCAGTTTAAGGTCCCTAGGGTCTTTTTCCATAGTTGCACCTGCAGCCAGGCACACAGCCAGTCACTCCTTTGGATCAATGAACAATCTAGGGGTATGTTTTTCTAATGCTTTAATGCAGACTCTGAACTTGGATAGGGTTAGGATAACTGTGGGATCCTCCAGTAACTTGAGGACACTCCTATTATCCACTTGCCCTCCAGAGGATTTACCCCTCTTCCTGACCAGGCCATTTTTTTGCGATACAGCGATGCAGTAATTTAATTGCGCGGTCATGCAACGCTGCACCCAACTGAAATTTACGTCCTTTTTCCCACAAATAGAGCTTTCTTTTGGTGGTATTTAATCGCCTGTGCGTTTTTTTATTTTTTGTGCTATAAAATTGAGAAAAAAACATTTTTGACTTTTTGCTTTTAAACGTCCAGTAAAAAAATTAAAAAATTCTAATTTCATCATAAATTTAGTCCAAAATGTATTCTGCTACACGTCTTTGCTAAAAAAGAATCCCAATACGTGTAAATTAATTGGTTGACGTGAAAGTTATAGCATTTACAAATGGCGGTATAGATACTGGAAATTTTTTGTTTTTTACTAGTAATGGCGGCGATCAGCGACTTATAGCGGGACTACGGTGGGCATTCTGACACTGGGGGGGAACTGACTTGGTGTCACTGACATCCCCAGTGACACTAATACAGTGATCAGTGCTAATAAAAAACACTGACACTGTACTAATGGCACTAGGCAGGAAGGGGTTAACATGTGGATTGATCAAAGGGTTAAGTTTGTGCTGTGTGAGTGCTTTACACTGTAATCACACTGCTTTGTATGGCTCAGCTAAGCAGAGCCATACAAAGCAGTGTACAGGAGCTGACAGGGGAGAGATCTCTGTTGTTTATACACAGGTCTCTCCCCTGTCAGAGATACTCAGCAATCACCGACCGCTGGAGAAGAATCACCGGCCACTGGTGAGGAATCACCGGCCAGCCACAAATGGCGGCACGGGTAGGGCTTGTGCTCGCTACCGAAGTGGAACTGCGAAATCACGTATATATACGTGATCTTGCGCACCCATGCCGCCCTGTAGTAGTATTTTTGCTATAGGGCGGTGTGGAAATGGTTATTCCGAGTCCTTTCACAAGTAAATGAGCTATACCAGGACACCAGGCACAATGTCTCCTTTGAGCAACACTGACTCTAGCACCCAAGGGCTATCAGCAGTACACAGTCTCAGGGATCTCTCACTCTAGTCTGTACATTCTAATGTCCTTGGATAATTGGATGTCTCCTTATTTCCAGACACCTTTCCAGTGACACCAGACCAGATCACCAGATGAAAGTCCTTCAGTTAGCTCTAGCAATGTTTAGATGAATAGGCCCCCAGCTAGCCTAGCTGTGACCTTAATAAACGGCATACACATGGCAGGCCTGTCCAGAAGGGCAGCAGCCCTAAAGTCTGAGATTTTCTCCTCCTAGGACAAGACCCCTCTGGTCCAGGTCTAAAAGTATTTATACACTTTCCCTGCCACCATCTGGGCACCTCTCCCCAGGGATAAGCCAGGGCAGCATAAATATTCAGCTGAGGATTTGCCTCTCCTAGTCCACTATCTTCCAGAATCTTTCTAGACAGACAGGGGGAAGCAATCAAGCTGTAGCCAGAGAAACACAGAACATACCAAGATAATCACACGCAACTCAACTGATTACAGTAGGCCCAGAACTACATTTATCTAACCTGGCCCCTATCTAGGAGGGTGCTACAATAACACTGCAAGCCATTTTGTATGTGTAGCTTTGTCAAAAAGTAATATTTTGAATGTATTGTCTTTACAACACAAGGTATTCTGCCAGGTTCTAAGTCATTCTGTATGTGTTTTAGCATACTGCATGACTGTAGGGGTGTAAGGAATAATATGATCAGAGATCCATTAGTTGGTGGTGCATATAACTTTCCTGCATAAGGAGCACAGTTTACTATGGATCCAGTAATGACATATCGCATGTTTCTTCATTATGGCAAATACATATGACCTCCGGTGCTTAGCTGTAAACAATAATAGTTACCAGGCTCATTAGAACTGCAGCAGATGGCCTATTAAGTTATCGCTGACGTTTTCATTCATTTTAGGCTTGCTGTGTAAAACTGTCACCTTTACACATCACAAAAACATCCTTGCTGAGTAAAATCGTCACCTTTACACATCAAGAAAGCATATCAAAAGAGTTATCTACATTTCACTGAAGTCTGTCATCATAATATTTCTCTTTGTTGTTACTAGGACTTTTGATTTTGTCCCCAATTTAGGTGTTTGATACACTGAAAATGCTGGTTGCAGTTTCTCTGGGAATTCCAATTA